TCTGTTGAACATATATGCGAATAAGCATATTAAATTCAAAGTAATTAACGTTGTAAAGGAAATGAATTAAATAAATAAATAAAACTAAATAAATCATGAACAGCTATAACAGTGACTAATGCTGTTCAAAATCAGATTTCGGCATTGTCTTCACTGCTGTAGTAATTCTGACTCATTTGGGTAAACCCAAATAGAAGGTCAAAGGTTTTTCTTTGGGAGCTGTGGTTTTACTTGCTCTTTCCATTATAGTGTGTGCTACATGCAAAAAGCTTTGCTGCCGCATGCAGTGTGTGAGGTTCTGAATAGATGAGAATCAGAAGAATGCATTTATTTTAAAAAAGGGCCATAAACTTATCAGGAAAGTAATAAATCAGAAATCTTAGAAGTAATTTTTTTTAAAGTCCATTATGATTGAAATGGCTTAAAGCACTTGACATTTAAAGTTTGACTTTATATGACAAAAGATAAATCTTAACAGCTTTTGTTTTTTGATGGTTTCGCGCTGGCAAAAATCAGACCCTTCACAGCCTAAGTAGGTATGATCTAGATAAGATGCATCTTTGCATAGAATCTTTTGGAAGGTCTGTGTCCCAAACTGATCAAACCTAAAGATTTTTGTTGCTTTAGACATGTTAAAGAGAGAAGAGTTTCTTGAAAGCCCAATAATTTGCTCTGTCACTTGACAAAGGATCTTCCACTCAAATTCACACCGCCTTCATGAGCACTGTATCCTTGGGCATCTGAAGCACCATGTGGGCACTGGGGAGCTGGGCTCACCTGCTCTCAGTGGGGAACACCTTCTGGGGTTAGGGAGGGAGGGTAGATAAAAGCCATTCAGGGGTTTTATCCTGTTTACAGCTCCTCTCACAGCCTGGGGTTAGAGAGAGAACTGGGGCACGCTTCCTTCTTTGCCTGTCATTGTGCATGATTTCCAGCCTCTTCCCTACAAGGCATTAGATTATTTTAGTTTAGTAGGGGAAATCCAGCAGACTGCTGGGCATCTTTAGTGCTCAGGAGGTATTTGACTGAAAAAAAAAGCCACCTAATGTCTGCCCATAAAAATTGTTTGCTTTTCCTTCTGCTTAATCAGAGTAAAAAATTATATAAATGATTAAGCAAAAGTCTCCTCCTTAAAACTTTAAAATAGATCTCTTTTCTTTCTAAAGAGCATAAACTCGGAACAATTGGCTGGCCCTCAAATAATGCCTATAAAGAATTATACCTTTTTTTATTGACGCTAATTATAGATCCATTATGACCTTCATATTACTTTGAGAGCCTGCAGCAGCCTTAATAAAACTGTGATTTCAGCTGAGCTGTGTTGTAGGGGAGAATAGGCTATTGTAATTCTGGCTGAATGGCTGCACCAAGGCATGGAGCCTTGACATGAAAGCCCCTGAAACAGAGTCATCTCTGGCAGTGAAGACAGTGCCCATATGGGCAACTGATGACAACTTAATTGTGGAGAAAAGAGCACTGGGAACAGGACATTGGGACAAAGTTCTAGTCTTTCAGGAGATGTGGGGTGGGGGGTCTTTCATCTCCCTGCTAAGTAGCCAGGTTCCTGGTTCTTTGGATCTCCTTTCAAAGACTGCTTAGCCTGCCAGCTGCAATGAATTCAGTGAGTGTTACTGAGACGTGAAAGAGAAAATATTTTCCTTCAAAGATTCAAACTCATGGGACTAGGCAGTCAATACCTAGTGTTTGGCCTCCAAAGTAATTTGGTTTTGTTAGGGAAAAAGCTTGGTCTTTGTTTAAAAAAAAAGAGAGAAAAAATGGGGGATACTTGGAAGTGCTTAGCAGCGCCCTGTATCAGGCTGTGAGACTGGGAGTCAGCCCGCCTGGGCTTGAGCTTCACCCCTGCTGAATAATCCTCTGTGCCATCTTAGTCAAGTCTTTTGTATCGTTTGCATCGCTCTCCCTGTCCCTTCATGCTAAACTGCCCGGAGGCATTTGGCAAAAAGGAGTTCCATCCCAGTGATGAATTACTGCTATTTACTCCCGGGCCTGACTGTGAGTCGTTTCTATCAGCATCAGTGAGGCGTTCACTCTGAGAGCAGTCGCCAATAGAGCTCCAAGCTGCTGGGAAGAAAAAGGGATGTATTACTGAGATATTTTATTGTTTCACCTTGTTTTATAAAATATTTATCTCAGTGGTACTGTCAGATACCCCGACAATAAGAATGATATCCTCCATCTCAGGTGTTCACTGCATTTATATTTTATATTGCTGTTTTTAATACAAAAGTGCTCTTCTTGTGCCTATAATGAGAAATAAATCAAATAAAGGACTTATGTTAGGGAGGATGGTAGAGTGGCTGCTTAACATTTTAGAAAAGATGGAGGGAAAAGATATTGAACCAGTTGTGGTGGTCTCTTTGATCTGATCACGGTGGTTGAAAGCACAGATTGTCAAACTAGAGATGAGCTTATGAAAAAATATAAATGTGTTTTTTATTGAACAAAGTAACATTTCAGAGAAGGTTCTTTCAAAGGCAACAAGCCCTTTAATTACAGCCTTTAGGGGTATTGTTTGATCACTGTAAATAAGCTGCTTTATTCTGGGTTCTGCTTAAATGTTGGTTTGGTTTTTGGTTTTGTGGGGAGTTTTTTTGCATTATATTGCATGCATCTTTCTCAAATCAAAAGCTTCTGTTTTCAAGGTTACTTGACTTACATTTTCAAAGAGTTACATCTTCTTTGTAACTTGAGTGGGAAAAACAAAGTTATTGTTGCACAACAGCAAAAAAATGTTTAAAAAGTGCATTTTAATTAAAATTTTCTTTTTCAATATATTGTGTGAGGGGGTCCGCATTATATAGCTGAAGTAAAATCTCTCAGGGTCACATTGTCACAAAGTGGGAATTTTCAAAATGTTTTATGATTAATTATCATGGCTTCTAAAGGAAAAAGTACTTTTATTATCCTTTTTGAAAGTTTCCCTGGCTCCCTTTTACCAGCACAAATATTTGCTGCAAGTGCCTAGGTAACATTTTTCTTGTCTGCATGTAATCTTCATTGTATTATTCCAGGCAAACCGCCAAGCAAGGGCTAAAATCAGGGCCAAAGCAATCTAGTTGCAGACAAATATGTAATTAAAATCAATACTGTATGTGCAATTGCACCCCCAAAAATATGGCTGGCAGATTTTAATTTTTAAATTTTTTTCTAAATCCTAGTATCGATAAAAATGAAGTTTCTGCAATCATCATCTCAGTTTGTTAGCAATCATCTACCCAACCTCTCACCCTCATAATCTTTCAACATCTTGGCCTATTTCAAATAAATCTAGTAATATATGTTTTACTATTGATAAGCTGTTGAAAGTTGGTCTCTGATGTCTTGGATGGAAAATGTGGTGGCACGCCTCCATTATTCCCTATTTATATGATCTATCTACCCAGCTTCTCTTCTGCAAATGAAAAATACTATACTATGATCCTTACTAGTGGTAGTACAAAGCATTTTTTCTCCCCACCAACCCCCTTCTACTACAAGGAGAACTGTAAAGAGTGTTGCTCTTCAAGCAAGGGAGCTCTGCCAGCAATAATGATATTTCAGTACTGGCCTTCTCAATTATTGATTGCGACTTTGTAGCCAGAGGTCAGGTTTTAAATATTTCTCATTGCCTGATACCATTCTGCTCACCTATGTTAAAAAAAAAAAGGCAAGACTTCAAACCGAACAAGATATAAGTAAGGGCTTAGAGCAATTGTGTGAAGGAAAATCTGTCTTCTCAGAGGAGATAAAGCAAAGGACAAAATTAACCCTGAGTACCCTTTGGGGAAGGGAAAAATGGAAATGAGAAAAAGGTATTTTAAGTAGCTGAGCAATATTAGTAGGAGAGCAAATAAATACACTCATCAATGCATTGGGAGTGGAAATGAAAACTTTTCACCACAAGGGTAAAGAAACTGAGATGAGATTTCAGAAAGGGCACGTCCACGTTGCTTCAGGACAGATCTTTGTTAGTTCTTGGGGGGAAATGCAGGAATGGAAGCTAGTATTAAAGTTAACTTTTCTGATGTTCTGTGTTCAATGCCATTCTACCTACAAATGGAACACCATATGTTCACTACATTGCCTTCATACATAGTTAATTGATCCCATGCACCAAAGCTTCTGTTAATCTCCTGCAGAGACCAGGAGTAATTTTCCTTCTTCTTCATAATTTGATTTTTGAGGTTTTTTGCTTTATTCTTCTCCCTATGCATCTGCTTCTGAAACAGTAAAGGTTGGCCACAACTAGAATGGAGAAGGGAGGACTCGATTTGTCAGGACAAGATACAGTCCCAGGTTTTGCTGAGGAAGTGCTGAAACACTTGGCTGGATTGCTTTGTTCCTTTTCTCAAAGTTCTGAACATGACAGACAGACAAGGAATTTTTTGCTGCCAGGTCTGAATCCATATGCTCATTTCTACATGGGACATTTCAACATTGTCATTGTTAATTTGCCAGTCTGCCAGTTTCTAGTACTTTCTTCTGTTCTTCTGTTACCACAGGAAGCTCAAATGCTGGTTGCACTTGGTTGTCCCTTGTCCTGTCCCTGGGTACCTTCAAGGGTCTGTGGGTTTTTGTCTCCTGCTGTAGTCTGTTGTTTCCTATGGGATATGCTGTGCCCTGTGCTGTGCAGAAGCACCTTTAGTGCCTGAGTCCCTCTGCCTGCCAGGTTCAGGAGACAGCTCCTGAAAACCCAGGTAATCCTATGCTCTACCTCTGCCTATTCTGGTCTAATAATTTGGAAATGTAGATTCTTCAGACCTTGCTCTCTTTGCATGCATTTAACCCCACAGAGCTGATTGATCACTGAAGTCACAAGGTGGTTTTTCTCATGACCCTTTTCTGAGGACGTAAGAGAAAATTAGGCTAATTATCACAAGATAAGTATGATTTCTTACAGTTTAAGTATTATTTTTGTTTTCAGTCAAAGAGGTAAAGACACTTGACAAAGTGATAAAAAGAGAAATAATGCTTTTCTTTCCTTTTGCATTTCTTTTCAGACTCCGTCTATGAGAAGTTTGGAAAAGAATTATCCCTCTCAACAGAAGAAGTCATTAAAGTTATTGGCTTCAAAATTAATAAACTCATAGCAAGTATCTGTGAGAATAATGAAGTCAGCCAGTTTTCAGCCAAAGTGGAATTACCACTAAACTTTCCTGGTATAGTATTTAATGAATGCATGTTTCTGAGAAATTATAGCCCTAAGTAATCACCTGTGTTCATTTTATTGATTTGCTGTCTTGATTGATATTTGAGGTTACAACTCAGCTGTCAAGAATGTTGTTTTATCAGATGATACAAGACACATTCAACTAGTTTTAAATTTCAACTCTTACAGTCCTTTCACAAACCTGGATAGAAAGGATTAGTACTATAAAGTTGTGGTAATTCTTTCTACACTTGGAGTCCCTCAATGTAAGAATTACAACAAAAATCTTCTTTCTGTTTGCTTACGACTTTGCCAAACCTTGTCTGAGCTGAAATATTCCTTGTTGTGTTCTCAGACTATAATGTATTTGCCATTACTACGTTTGTATTTTATTATTATGGGTACAAAATGTTTTCAATACTGTTTTCATTTTAATGATTTATTGTAACTGTGGTGGCCAGAGTGGCTGCTCCATGCTTAGAAACAGGATTAGAGGGGAATGGATGTGTTTTTCTATTTAAAAAAATTCTTTAACTGTTCTATGGAAAAATCCAAATATATTAATATTTTGGAGGATGGACTTGAAATTTGACACGTGGTACTGACTTGTTACTTGAACCACATCTTCCTCTCTCCATGTTGCCTTGTTACGGAGAGCTGGCCAAGCATTGAACCCAGTACTAGTTCATCATGTGTCATATTTATTAATTTTTGAATTTTGCTCTCATCTGAGTTCCTCTACTGTTAGGGCCCAGCAGCACTGAACAGGGAAGTGAATAAATCACAGAGGGAGAAGTGTGTATCCCATGTGAGTATCCCAAGTGTGGGAAGAGGAGGACAGAAACTATGTTAAGAAAATTGTGGAAAAAGCTTTGACTTCAGAGCAGGACAGAAGGATGGACTTTCCATACAAAGATCAGAGGCAGGCGCAGGTGGTTCCAGCAGAGAGGAAGACCCCCCTCACCCATAAGTTTGCAAGTAGGGCATTTTCTATGCTGGGAGTCTTGCAGGCAGCAGAGGTAATGGTGAAAGGACATGAGCAAGCTGGAAAACTGCATGAGGAGGGCAGTGGGAGGGAGTCTGGGGGAGAAGTTGTGAGACACCTGTATAAAGGAAACACCGGTACAGAGCACACAGAGAACACAACAGACTTCAAGAATCTGAGCTCATGCCCAGGACTCACTTTGGCCATCAGTCTAGCTAATGGATTGAATGCGGCTATAGTTTTGTACAAAAAAACCACACCCTAAATATTTAATTAGCGTTGTATTAGCACTGAAAGCACATGGGAAATTAAATTGATGCTGCATGGGGAACATAATATGAGAGTTTTCTAGTGTTTGAGTGCTTGACTTAATAACCTCATTGATGCTCTTCTAAAGTCTTGCTGAGTATGCCAGAGTGTGCACGTGCGTGTGCAGGGTTTCTGTTATGCCAGTATCCAAGATGGAACGTGCTTTTTTTTGCAGACAGAGACAAGACACACTTATCGAAACAAATAAAATGTAAAAGTCTCTGGGAATGAAACGTTTCATTTGAATTCTACAGAAAATATCTTCTGCTATGCCTTTATTTGCCATCTCTAAAATACAGATTTCTCTCTGAAATAGTTGTGTATATATAACTTCTCCACCCCCTCAAATAGATCCTCAATTTACCTTCACATTTTTCCTGTGAATCAGAATGGTTTCTATGACCACTTATAAAAATACTTTTTTGGAATGCCATTTTCAAGCACTAGTAGGGCCCAGACGTAGAGATCAAAGACCTTTTAATTATCTGTGGCTATCTAGAGATATTGAAATACGAGTCTCCTGTGAACTCTCAAGATACTTGGTATTTTTCTTGTAATCCAAGTTTCTCTGATATTATTAAAATTTCTTCTATCTCTAAAATACATACACAAATAGAAATATATTCTAAATCTTGATTGGCAGATGAGGTTGAACGTTTGAATCCTAAAATATCCGGCACAACAGAGTGATAAAAGTAATCCTAAATTTATTAATGTTGAAGGTCCCGATTCTTAGAACAGAAGAACTTGTGATTTCAAATGCTTGAACCTGGTGAATCAGGATTTATTTGCATTCAAGTGATCAGTTTTACAACTTGGCATTTGGATGCTGTTGCCCTGCTGAGCACATTTTCAAATTCGATCTAATCACTACAATTTTCATGCATAGTTATGAACTCTCCCAACCAGTGTTCTAGAAAACTGGGTTATTTCACTTGAAAAATAAATTCCGAGTTCATTTTGCTGAAATTTATCATTATTATCCTCCACATGATGGGTATTACTGAACAGCAGCACTGAAGAGGGGCATAATGGCACTTCTTATTAGCCCAACAGGGAGCACCTCTTTCCTGTTTTTCTCTGTATATGTACTCTTACACATTCGAGAGCTATTTGGTAAGACATACATTTGTCATTTCTCTGGTTTAGCTCTTAGCTGATGAATGATTCTACTCTGCAGAGTCAAGATTTCCCAGTCTCTTGCTCTTTCTTGACCTTTTTCCTTTTCACTTTATTACATACACGTGCTACAATCTAATTGAAACATTATACATGAAACATGGCTTGCCCTCATCTCCTGAATGAAGCACAGAACTGAATTGCAGATGATCTTTTTCACGTTGCCTTTGACTTAACTTAATAAAAATATCCACAGGTTGCCAGAAGGCTGACCCTGTATTTACATTGTATGTACAGTGCTCTGTTGCCAGTGTTGATGCAAAGAAATCTTTTGCTTTGATGCTCTTTTCCATTTCCTTTGCCATGAGCTCTTTTGCACGCCCTGGGCTCATGTATCCTTTCACTGTGTGCATACTGGCACAAATGAGCAAGGCTCCTATTTAGGTTACTCTGGGGATAGCAGCTCTGAGAGTGAAGAACTGGGCTCATTGGCCTTAAATGAGCCCCACTCTTTGTCTTTCTGAGCGTATTTGCAGTCTTCAGAACTCCTTTTCTTCTTCTCTGGCAAATCAGATCCGTGATAAAGGCCTAATCTGCCCTTTGTGTTAGAGAAACCGCTGCAACCGCAAGTTCACTATCTGTGTTATTTCGTTTTATCCTCATTCTAATTTGTTCTTTTTCATGCCTCAGAGGACTGGACTATTCTTTCTGTGCTCATACACTGGGTAAAATAATAGAAGTCTGCTGTTACTCTAGACACTTCAATGACTACGTCTAACCACATTTTGAACTACAATTTTCACTACTAGCAAATTAGCAGACAGGTAATTTGCACAACAGCTGATTTTTTTGCCAGCACAAATGATTGCATTTCATTCTGTTGTATTTCTTCTTCTGCAAAAAACATTGCTAGACTGCCGCTGTTCTCATGAGGTCCCTGGATGTTGCTGCTGCTCATTCCTATTCGGTATGACAGACACATAGCTGAACATTACTGCCCCTTTGAGTACTCATCTGCAAGTCAAAAGACAGGAGACTTGTCAGTGGCCATGCAACACATCTGTGGAAGAGCAGGGGTTAGGCATTAAAAGGTTCATCTCAATATTAGGTGAGGTAGAGCTGGCCTTTGGGACAGGATGAGGGGAGAAGGATGCTGAAGCAGAAGAGGTAGAGAGTGGGTATGGGAGGTGTGGGAAAAGAGGAATAGCAATTAAGTCATCTCCAGAGAAGGTAGAAACTGTGCTCTTTCCAGCCTTACTTGGGGAACAGAAACTGCTAGTCTGGGAAAGATTATTTGTTCTGCTCTTCTTTTTTCTTGGAGGCTGCTTGCTACTCTACTAGGGAAGTCTGTCAGTTTTCTCTGCTGTCTGTAGGGGAAAGAGAGTAAAATACTCCCTTCCTTCAGGACTCTAATTAAGACTGAATATAGGAAGTCCATAAAGCTCCAGGGTGGTACATTTTTCACTACAGCCAGTAAAACTATTCTGTATACATATATAGATGCTATTCTGCATACCTTTCATATACATATACTATTCTGTAAAAAGGTGGTAAAAATATCCTTCTATGAAAACATGCTTTCCTATAGCACATTCAGTCTTGTGATCCTCTGGTTATGTTTTCTCTCCCATACCAGTGAAATAATTGTCTCAGATTCTAAAACTCTCTTTGTGTCAACTTCTTGAACAGATGGGCTGATGATGTTTGGGGCTTACTAATCATTGTATCATGTCTAGGCAGACACTTCACCTAGTGAAGCATCACTAGGTACAGAGGCTTCATGGAGTGGAATGGTTGCATTTTCCTGTAGTATTATATATATCTAGAATTCTTCTTCCATGACTGTTTTATTTTTTCTCAAATCATTCGACATCAGTACAGTTTGATTGTAGAGCAGATTGTATTTAGAAAGTATATCTATAGGAGCAATAATGCCAGATCTTGATAAACCAGATGGACTTTCTTCCAAATTTGTAATTTCCATCTGTCTTTCTCCCTTACAGTCCACCAAGATCTCTTTGGAAAGTCTGAGTGAATTTGATGCAGTCGTTTTATGGTTTATGAAAAAGTACAAAAATTTTTGTTTGACCTCAAAATGTCCAAATCTTAGCATCTCAAACTTACCATATGGCTCTTCCTCCTGGAGGTTTCCTTGTTATCTTAGATTTGAAAAACATTTGGTTTTGCAATTTGATTCACAGTGATTTTAATAAGGCTCTGAATGTTCCAGATAATATTGTTTGGTGGTTTTTGTGGTTTTGTTTTGCTTTTTACATATATACAGTATGAAAAAGAGCATTTATGAGAGGATATCATGGCAGAATATGGCAGTGACTTCCACCCAACATACCAAAATAGCCTTTTATATATTTACCTATATTCTATGTAGAGAGACAAATGGAACTTTTCATGTTCATAGCCACTCAGAGGTGGTTGTTAGGAGTCTTATCAATACAGAAGTTAAGAATGCAGGACCACGTGGCTCTTCTCCTGCCTAAGCAAATATTCTGTCATCAAAATTTAAAAAACTACCAGAACAGAAGGGAAACATTCTTCTGCTCCCATCCTTGATGAAGCCAGTCTGCCTGGGCCAAGGGGTTAATCAGGTGTCTAGTTTTTAATGAAATCTGATAATTATGCTTTCATACTACACCTGCTTTCCAGCCTGGGATGTTCATCATCTTGTTGATGAAATAGTTGCCTTCCAAATAACTTTGTAGGCCCAGCAAAATTAGTAGCCTGAGACTATTGTCAAACTCATAGAAGATAATAATGTTCCTCATACCTGTACATTGCCAAATATTTTCAAATGTAAGTTTTTTTGCACAGTTTATGGAGGTTTTTCAGTATAATTCAGGGGAATTTGTGGGGGCCGTATACTTGCGCCTGTATCACAGATGGGTATGCATAATTACTGCCTCTGGGACACATCATAAGTATTTGGAATATCCTTTTTAGTGAAGAATGTTCCTATTTGTTTTCTCCCAGCACTGCCAGGAGGTGATACCCATCTTGTGCTTGCAAAGCATGATGCTAGAACACTGTTTGTCTTTTCCACAGTTTCAGTTTGTTACTGGGGCCTTGTCACAGTGATACTTTCTAAATGCTGGTGAACCTGTTTGTGTTGCTTTGCAATGATACACTCTAGTGGTTATTAGGACTGGGGTAGATAACTTCCTTGCTAATAATTATGTTAAAAATGGCAGTGAGAAACATTACAAATATCAGTGGGAGAGAAAAGTGCATTCACGTTTACTTTGTACATTCATGCATGTGCCTTCCTTGCAGCCCAGGAAAAAGCCTGGAGGTTTTCCTGCAGGTTTTCCTAGTGAGGACATATATGTAGAGAATGCACTGACACAAGGGCACTGACTTCACACAGGAAAAGCTGGCTGGCGTACAGACAGTTGTGAAGGCAGAACACAGAACTGCAGAAATAAGTGACATTGGCATAACTGGTGACTATTTCTGCATCAGATCAAAGAGGCTGTTACTGCTTAGGCTGCTGACAGGCCCTCAGACATGTTAGTTCCCAGAGATACTAGTGGCCACATGGGACACCCAGAACCAAACATGCCCAATCTGGTGATGAATTCAGTTAAAAGCTACTCAACAGAGAGAATCTTAATTATGTCTCATTTAACAAGAGTGATGCTAAAGTTACAAAGTGAAAGTACAGGGTTCTGCTACTGTAAAGATTCACAGCAATCCTGTAGCCAGAACCACCCTCCCCCCCCCCTTTTTTTTTTTTTTTTAAAGGCTGATGTGATAGAAGTAATTATTTGATACATCCTTTTAAAAAAATACAATCTTAGGGACACTCTGAGACCATTCAGGGCCCTCAGTTGTGTTGATTAGGATCAGTAATGAAAGTCAGTAAGGGAAGAAGTTTGGAAGAAAACAAGCACCTTGCTTATATTTAAGAGAAGCAGTATTCCCTGATCCAATTCCTTAAACAATCCCACAACTGGGGAGGTCAAGCAAAGGAAGTGAGTGTCTTCCCAAGATCCAACTGTGTGTTCTGGCAGCACCCCACCTTACTGAAATCTAGGTATCTGCTGGAACATCATGCACTTGGCTGAGGACAGTTGAGTAGGATATTTAAAACCTTGCAGACCTAGCTTAAGCTACTCATGGGATTTGAAGCTTCCATAAAAGCATCTTTAGTGGTACCAACCAGGCTTCTTGATATCCCATCCCATGCCTCCTCAACAGCCAAAATGGGAGTATACTTTTACTGCAAAGTGCCCTCTCTGTGGTCCAGAGGTGTCAATAGCATGGAGGAATGAGGCCATAGGAGTTTTGCTGGCTGGATTTGACAGACAAAGGGAGAAAAGGCACGGTATCTCCCAGAGAGCTTAGCTTCCCTGTCACTGTAGCTGTAGCTATTGGTTTATTTGTGACTAGCAAACTTGGCCTAGAAATAACCTCTATTCTCGCTTATATTCACTTGAAAGTAAGTCTTTGTCAATGTCTGTCTCAGGAAGCTGCGCTGCAATTCCATGACGCAGCATTCACAATGCTGCCACACCTTGTGAGGAAGACAGCTGAATCACACACTTCAGCTAAGACCTGCTTTTTAGTCCTCTCAGCCCTCCAGTTCGTCTTCCTTTATGAAAACTCTCACGCAAATGTAGAAATGTACACATTTTTCTTGCAATGGAAACTCCTAACAAGACAGATCCAAAGGGCATGATTAACATGAAGTAATAGTGTCCCTAGGAGATAGGGAAGCTCAGATACAGCTTCTGCCTTGCAGAACTTCAGCATTTTAATTGCCTCATGATGGCTGCAGTGCTACAACACCCAGACTTTGAATTAATCCAGCTGGTGGACTGGGCTGTCAGATACGCTAAAATCTATTTGCTCATTTGCTCTTTCTTATCTGTGGGTGCTACTCTTTCATTTGGGATGTATCTTTATACACATTTGGTCTAGGAATTCCCAGTCTGTGTGTGGAAGGAACTACTGATGTTTAGACAAGAAACTTATCCCCCATGAACTGATCACATTAGTGTTGTGTTTCCTCATGCCACATCTGCATTTAGGTCTCAAAGGCTGGTTTTCTGAGAAGACAGACAGGAATTTAGGAAAATTTTTCTTTTTACTGTGGACTAAGAATGCTGGATGTCAGAAATTAGATACATGGCAGAAAGCGTTAATTCCAGCTGCCTATACATTTTACCAGGCAGCAGATATTACCTCTGTAGAGTCATATTTCTGCAACTGAGCTATCATCTATGAATTATTTGATGTGCTTTGCTCCTCATTTTTATAACATTCACAGTCTAAAAATTGGCATGACTTTCTTTGTGTATTTCCCTTTTTATAATGGAAGTTTTCTGTTCTTAGGTCTTTATAAGGTTGTGGCAGATAAGACTCCATATGCCAGCATTGAAGAAATTGCAAGAAAAGTCTCTATTGGGCCAACAAGATTTGGCCATCCTACTTTCTACAGTGCCAAGGATATAAAATTGGCAAATTTCACTATCAAACATGATGAGCAGATCATCTTCAACTCTGTAGAAGAGGTCCATGGAATGATGGCTGTGAAGTGTGTTGTGGTCAGAAATAATCAGTCTCATTCTTTTACTTTGCCCTTTTCACAAGAAGGAGAATTCTATGAGTGTGAAGATGACCAGATATACACCCTAAAAGAGATTGCAGAATGGAAAATCCCTAGGTGTAGAAACCGGATTGTTAAACTTGCCAATACTTTACACACGTGGGACTCCTCTAATCCACTTCCTGAGAATTTTGATGGCTGTTTGATTCTCACGCCTGTCTACGAAGTGCAGGCAGTAATGAAATGTAAGTAAGAATTAAAATCAGTGTTCTGTTAAACTTGGTGTGGTAAAGTACAAAAGTACCCTTAAATACACAACACTTTCTTAAAATAGACGTGAAAGATTCAGTTTGTTAAAAATTCCTTATCCGTATTTGCCACTCATGTTAGTTTCAAGAGGAAGAAAGGTAAAAATAATATTTCCTTTAGTATTTCTTTATCATCTGTTAGTTCAGATTATTACCTTGCATTTTTTTCTGTTGCCATTTTGTTGATCACTACGATTAAATCCTCACTGAAAATATATTGCATAGTAAAAAGGCTGAGCTTAGGAATTTTGTTCAGTTGCCAGATTCTCTTTCTTTGTGTCTTAGACTTTGGCCATGGAGAAGCCACTTGATCATTTATGGCTATGTCTAGGAGTTAGAAAAAGAAAAGGAAAAAAACCAATTGAACACGTTGCAATAAACTTAATTACCATTCAATTTTCAGAATGAGGATGTCAGAGAACGGAAAATCATATTATTTTATTCTGCTGCAGAAACAAATATCAAAGGAATATAAACACAAAAACCTCATGGACAATTTCTGAAATCTGTAGGTTTGAGGAGACAGAAATATTAGAAAACCAATATCTTTAAAAGTTTGTGCTCTGAGTTTTTATTTTTAAAAACTCCAAAAATCTATGACACTAGTTGTTCTAGTTTTTCCACCAAAACCTTGTTGCAGTTGGCTTCTGATTGCAGGATAGTAGCTTAGCTGTTGGGAAGGTTTTGCTGCTTGTTGCATTTACTACAAATGAGCTCTGTAGAAATAGAATCCTAACAAAAATATGACATTCATGGGGATATTAAGAAGGAAATCTTTTCAGAATTGACCATTTTTCTGTTGACTTATGTAAGCAAATGTACAAAAGAGAAAGAAATAAAAGTGGACAGAGTGTTAACACAATATGCCATAGTCATTATATGCTTATCGTAAGATATTCAGCTGTGCTTGCTATGTGATTTAATGTATGAGTTTTGAAAATATAGCTTCACAAGATAAACTACTCTGTTTGCTGTAATTCTAGCTAGATCCAAATATCTAGCTCATCTCCTGAAGCTCTATTAACTCAGGTTTATTGCTATGTCCGCTTAGATTTATGTGCAGAATCAATAAGAATTTAATACCCCTGAAAACCTTCAGAAGATTCAGAAATATTTGGTATTCCCTTGTCTTCCAATCAGTTATTCCAGTAAGGATTGTATTTGTTGGTTTTATTTTATGTTTCATGGTGTCCTCAACATTTAAGAAGCCTTGTATATGTCCTAGATAACTATTTAATACAAACTTGAAAAGTAGGCTTCATGGTACATGAATAACTACTTTCTTGTGGACCATGAAGAATGAATTTTCACCATTTTTAGGAGAACTATAAATAGACACAAGATAAAGTATGAGAATTACTATCCACTATAAAAAAAAAAGATTCCTGATAACTGGGATAACTGATTACATTTTCACAGGCTGTGAGCAGGAATCCTCTATACTTATTATTAATCATGAACAAGTTATGTGTGTGAAACTCTCACAAATGCTCATAGAAAGTTTCATTTTCACCAGTCATTTTCCTTTGTTGTCTTTCCCTTGCGGTGTTAAGGATGTTTATCACCTCAAAGTGTCAATATGACAAAAGCAAAGTCAGAACAAACAGACCCTGAATCACTGTCACAGAACTCTGTCATATAAAATAAATCCGATACCAACTTTTCAGTATAAAATATTGATATGTCCTGCTACAAGGAAGTGTGAATCCAGAATATACTATCCCTTTGTGTAGATCTATGCAGAATAAATCTTATTGAAGAGAGTCATTAAATATTATTTGCTTGTTAAATTTTACTGCCTTGGTCAGAGACCTGTGGTGTCACTGACTTGGAGCCAAATTCTTAAACAAGCCTTAATTACATAGTCAGCTTTATTCTTGGAAGATTTCCATTCAAAATTTTTCAACTTCAATTGTGGTAAAAGAGCTGTTGTTCCCTGTCAGGTTGTTAAATTCACTGGCTCAGTTCTGATAGTGAATAAAACCAGGTGATGCAGAAAAAGATGCAGCAGTTCCAGAGAGGAACATAATATTGAAATGTCTTAATTCACAAAAATAACTTACTCTTAGTTGTACAAAGGCTTTGTCATTTTATTAAGTGATATTATTTCTTAATAATTACAGATGTTTGAATTATTCTTACAAATATCAAACTACCAGTCTGGCCATAGCAACATGTTAATGGATCCAAATGCTATTTATTTACTAAAAATATTTCCCCACTCCTCTAGAGAAACCCGAAACTGTTTTGAAGTAAAAGAATAAAAATACAACTTGCACCCAAGAGTTTGAGAAGATAAACAACTGATGGAAGTGCTGTGGGGAAAATAGTGAACCAGACTTTTCTTTTTCATAAACTTTGTGCTCAATTGCACACCTTATTCTCTCCTTTCATTTGTGTGGTCTCATGCATATCTGGTAACCATATCTCTCAAATTACAACAATTAGACTTTGGCTGGCCCAGTTAGTGGTGCACACGTGGACACGTACACCTCAGGGGGGGTACTTTTAGTATCTGGCAAACAGGACATGTATTTTATTTCAATGTCAGTTTGAAAACAAAACACAGTATATTTCTTTTTCTTTTCAGTTCGAAAGGACATTGTTCATATCCTCTCAGATCTGGATGTGGAGGTTGAGGATGTAACAGACTGTTATGATATTAGCTCTTTCCTTCAGCCATTTTCTTTGGAAGATTTATTTGAGAGAACAAGCAAAGAATTTCCTATGGTTGCTGAGATAATGGAAGGGCCTTCGGGAAACCAAAATCCTTATAACTTATTGTCTACAGGGAAAGAGATTGTCATCTACAAAAAGTACCAGGCAGCAAGAGTCCTAGCCTCTGAGATGAGAAGTGGTTCCTCTAAAAGACATTATTTAATCCCTATGAGCTACAAAGGAAAGTTCAAGAGAAGACCTCGGGAGTTCCCAACTGCCTATGATTTAGACATAGCAAGAAGTCAAAAAGAGCATCTTCATGTTGTAGCAACTAAAGCCTTTACTTCCCCTCATCAAGAACTTTTTTCTGTTTCAGTTGGGGATCAATTTCTAGTTCAACAATGCCAGACTAGTGAAGTTCTGTACGAGGGAAGAAAAAAACTCATAGATGTTTTAGCTTGTGAGCAAATACTAAGTGATTCATATAAAAAAGTGCTCCTCCCTATGTACATGGAAGGTGGCTTTGTGGAAGTGATTCATGACAAGAAACAGTACCACCTCTCTGAGATTTGCAAAGAATTCCATTTCCCTTTCAATGTCAAAGTGTCCGTGAGGGACCTTTCCATGGAGAAAGATGTCTTGGCTGCTGCACCTGGTCTGCAGTTTGAAGAAGAAATCACAGACTCTTACCTGCTGATCAGTAGTGCCAGCAGTCCAGTGGAGAGCTGGGAGATTCCTGTGTATCGCTTAAACATGTTGGTTCATTTGCTCAGCAAAGATGTCCAGACAGTTGTACCGCCTGTGACTGGGACAACAGTGGAAGAGGTCAGTGAAGAGGAATACTATATGTTGCGAAGATATGAAAACCTAACCCTCCATCCACCACCCAGACCCCCCAAAAAGCCAACAACAGCACAACAACCTACTTTTGCAGCGCCTAATCAAGGTGCGTCTGATGTACTACAGGCTCCAAAGGTAAGGTAACCCATCTTGTCTTTCAAAGTCTTACAACCACAGGTCATGTTCTGTGGGTTTAAAGTCTTCATTTCACAGTTGTATCCTTATGCCATGTACACAGATGGCTCTCAGCGCCCTGTAATGGGCAAATTACCATTACAGACAGGAATGGCTAAAATCTCCAGTGCGTGTTAATTGATCCATGAAAAACAACGGAACCATGCCGACTCACAGCGGAAATCTTGGCTGTATAATTTTACATGGATAATCCTTTACTGCACCATTGTGAAAGTGAAGGGAGAGATTTGAAGTGCCTGTATTTAAATCTTTATTAAGGGGAAGCATATGTTTTCATGATGTAAAGATAATTTTGCCCAGCTGGAAATTGTGGAATTAAGGTCACAGAGAGACAGGTTGTATTGAAATTTTTGAATTCATTATTTTGCACTCACCCAAGTGGGAAATAGGTTTGGAACTTTATAAAAAACATTAAGCAGTTCTTTTAAAATAGAAGTTGATGTTAAAAAAGAAATGCCTCTTCCAGGACAATTTTCTTCTTAAACAATGTTTAACTTACTAAGATAATGCATTTGTTCATTAATCTTTGTGTTGGGTCTGGCTGAGGTGGAGTTGATTTTCTTCACACCAGTCTGTAAAGTATTTTTTTTTTTTTTTTGATTTTTGATTTAATCAGGGTTGATAACACATTAATCTTTTGGCTGTTTTACAGCCATGCGCCCACAGTGTCAAAGCCTTCTTGATTTCCCAGGCTTCCCCAAGGAAGTTCGCTGGGGTTAGGCAAGATGCTGGGAGAGGACACAGATGGGGGTGCTGGCCCCAGATGACCAAAGGGACATTCCATGACACATAATACCATATTCAACAAAAAAAATTGAGGGGGTGATTTGCCTAGGAAGGCAGCCATAACTCAGAGACTGGTCAGACAGCAGTCTGCTTGCAGGAGGTGGTGAGTCACTGCCTTTTGCATCACTGTTTTGGGCTTTTTCCCCCTCTTTCCTTCATTTATTAAGGTGTCTTAATCTGAACCCATGAGTTTTCCTGCTTTTGCTCCTACTATTCTCTCTCCTGATGAGATCATCATCCTGATGTCAGGGTGGACTGAGCACCCTGTGTTGTGATTGCTGTGCTTTAAATACAATGTAACTCATTATATTTTGGGGGATTCAGAGGAAGTTCTTTTTTAGTGTGTTGGTATGAAACTGAAGTTGAATTGTAGCCACTCTGAAAGGGCAGTGTTTGTGAGTTTTGGAGGTGTTCCTTCTCTCATTCCCTAATTCCAAGACCATGTGCACGTCCACAGCTCCACATAGATGCTGGGAGATGGTTACAACATTCTATAGGAGAATTGAAGGGATAAGGTGGCTCCCTAAGATGTGGATACTACCAAAAAAAGATGTGTCATTTTCTCCTGTCTTTACTACAGAAATGTCTTTTCTTCTAATTTCTACAATGAACATTGAGCAGATTAAATAAGATATCCTGCTGTACAAGGAAGGATACATGAGAAACTTGTCCATGGAGTTAACAGTCAATCACCCTGGAACTGGCCAGGGGTAAAGAACTAGGGGAAGATTCCCTAAAGATGTGTTCTGGTAAATCTGTACCATTGTCAGGAGGATTTCAACTTCCTGCAGTTACTGGGGCTGTGTGTAACAGAAAAGCAGGTGGATGCTGACTCCAAATCAGGCTCATGCAGAAGATAATATTTCCTTAAAGTGAGAAGAGAGGGGTAAGGGATGAAGAGGGATGAGCTGAGGTTCTTTTTCACATTCATGAGTGAGAGTAACCTTAGACTGCAGCTGTCCAGACAAAGGAGATAATTTAAACACTGTTTCAGAAGATTCTTTTTAATTTTTTGTGGGGCAGGTGCCAGTTATAAATAAATAATAAACTGCAGTCAGAATGCTTGGAGTTATGCATATTGTAAATCTCCTCCCCCAGAAAGGTGAAACAAGTAGAGATCCTTCATTCACTAGATTAAGCATCCTGAGCTGTAACATATTGTGTTTAAAGTCACACAGAATGCATTATCTTTTCTATACTGAACACCATGAGTCCTCTGAGAAGATGTGGATGGTGGCACCTAGGCCTTGCCTTGGCCCCTCTGCAGCACTGGGGGAGATTGTGTTTTCTTTCTAAATGTATCAGGAATGTTTGAGGGTTCAGAGAGTCAGAAACTGTGCCAAACTGATAAATAGCCATCTTTGCATATTTAGTGACTGTGCATAGGCTTATTTGCATAAATAACAGATGAGCATCCTAATGAGCTGAATTTAAGCCTGACAAGGTGGCAGCCTGGGATAGCCTTTAGTGCTGCATGAGTTGACACACCCCTCCTGCAGGCAGCTCCCTGCCAGGTGCTTCGGGAGTTCTGGCTGCTTGATGGAGAGTGGTGAATGGTTTCTTTGCACATCAGTTAGGAAGCTCTGCTTGGTTTGGAGCTCCAGGATAAAATGCTGCTGCTGCATGGCTCCACAGAAGAAATTGGACTGTTTTTTGCCAGTACCTGAGGATTATCTGCAAGTGTGGGTCATCTTTGGCTGCAGCTTGTGCTTTGACCACCTCAGCTTGCAGCAAAGCTGTGAGGGCAGAGAGGCTCCAGCTGTCTCTTCCTGCTGTTCTCTGACCTTGGTAAGGACACTCTGGTCCCAAGAGCAGGGCTGCATGCTTCACTGCATACTTTTGGTCATGTGAGTCACTGGATTGTATGAGATTTGCATCCAGCATGGACTGGAACCTCAGACAAGTATGAGAACTACCTCTGCTTGTGTGCAAGGTGCAATGCTGCAGAGTCATAGATGTCTGCACAGTTCAGCAGTCTCTCCTCTCCTCTCCTCTCCTCTCCTCTCCTCTCCTCTCCTCTCCTCTCCTCTCCTCTCCTCTCCTCTCCTCTCCTCTCCTCTCCTCTCCTCTCCTCTCCTCTCCTCTCCTCTCCTCTCCTCTCCTCTCCTCTCCTCTCCTCTCCTCTCCTCTCCTCTCCTCTCCTCTCCTCTCCTCTCCTCTCCTCTCCTCTCCTCTCCTCTCCTCTCCTCTCCTCTCCTCTCCTCTCCTCTCCTCTCCTCTCCTCTCCTCTCCTCTCCTCTCCTCTCCTCTCCTCTCCTCTCCTCTCCTCTCCTCTCCTCTCCTCTCCTCTCCTCTCCTCTCCTCTCCTCTCCTCTCCTCTCCTCTCCTCTCCTCTCCTCTCCTCTCCTCTCCTCTCCTCTCCTCTCCTCTCCTCTCCTCTCCTCTCCTCTCCTCTCCTCTCCTCTCCTCTCCTCTCCTCTCCTCTCCTCTCCTCTCCTCTCCTCTCCTCTCCTCTCCTCTCCTCCTCTCCTCTCCTCTCCTCTCCTCTCCTCTCCTCTCCTCTCCTCTCCTCTCCTCTCCTCTCCTCTCCTCTCCTCTCCTCTCCTCTCCTCTCCTCTCCTCTCCTCTCCTCTCCTCTCCTCTCCTCTCCTCTCCTCTCCTCTCCTCTCCTCTCCTCTCCTCTCCTCTCCTCTCCTCTCCTCTCCTCTCCTCTCCTCTCCTCTCCTCTCCTCTCCTCTCCTCTCCTCTCCTCTCCTCTCCTCTCCTCTCCTCTCCTCTCCTCTCCTCTCCTCTCCTCTCCTCTCCTCTCCTCTCCTCTCCTCTCTCTCCTCTCCTCTCCTCTCCTCTCCTCTCCTCTCCTCTCCTCTCCTCTCCTCTCCTCTCCTCGCCTCGCCTCGCCTCGCCTCGCCTCGCCTCGCCTCGCCTCGCCTCGCCTCGCCTCGCCTCGCCTCGCCTCGCCTCGCCTCGCCTCGCCTCGCCTCGCCTCGCCTCGCCTCGCCTCGCCTCGCCTCGCCTCGCCTCGCCTCGCCTCGCCTCGCCTCGCCTCGCCTCGCCTCGCCTCGCCTCGCCTCGCCTCGCCTCTGCTCGCCTCTCCTCGCCTCGCCTCTCCTCGCCTCCCCTCCCCTCCCCTCCCCTCCCCTCCCCTCCCCTCCCCTCCCCTCCCCTCCCCTCCCATATCGACATTTTCTTGTGTAAGAAACATCCAGACCACATATGTTTGCAATTTTGTATTACTTGCTAATTTAATTTAAAAAGACAAACCCCAAGAAAATGCATGTAAACTAAACAAATGAAAAAAAAATAGCTTGTATTGACTGATTAAAATAATCTTATACTTAATTCAGCAGATATCTACCTGATGTTACTAGCCTATAGCAGGTATTAATCCAATAACCAACACATCCACCCACAAGCACCCCCAGCTGACATAGGAATGACATAAGGAGTGACATAACAAATTGTATCCTTTGTCTCATGGTAAAATGTATTATAAAATTCACCAGACATATACATTCTCTTTGCTAGAATCATTGGAATGAATTTCAGAGGGGATTTTAACTGACATGTAGGATTGGTCATTCAGCTCCTGGTTTGTGAGCTTATCTAGAAAGCAAGAATGAGCCAATAAAACCCTAAAAGTTAATGCTACTGATTTGACATTGCAGCATCTCACCCTTTTGCCAAATGGCTCCTGGAAAGAAGTTACTGTGGGAGTACTCAGTCAGGACCTTACTTTCTTGAAATGAAAATTCATATAAAGGGAACAACTCAGATGTGTCTGTTTTTTCCACACATTAGAAACATCACTGCAAATATGACAAACCAAGTTTTCACTTAGTAGCTTCCTTGAAAATAGTTTTCTAAAATTTCCTTTTTCACCTGCTTGGAAAATTACTCTTTCCTCCCCTTCAAGAGGATTCAAGAAGCAAAAGTGTTCTACATTTCTTTTTGCCTATCAGTTCAAGCAGTAAATATCCTACACATTTAAGAAGGTGTTAATCTGTGCTCCTCAATGTTTTTGTATTAAATTGAAACAAAGGGTTCACACCAAATATTGCTAAATGCAATCTTAATCAATTCATGGAAAGCCACAATTTAGCCTTGTACTCCTAAGACCATAAGGGCACTGTTTAAAGGACAAAAAAGACAGTATTGCACTCCTGATAAGGAGTAAGAGAGGTTAGCTCCATCCAATGCTATTATGAATGGTTTGT